ACAAGCAAATCTTTAAAAACTGATTCGACATTGTTACTATAACTGGAAATGGCTTGGGCAAATTTCATCCAACTTCCCTGAGAATACCTAACCAATCTCAGACCTGGAAGGAAAATCAAGATAAGATAGGAAGTCGCCATCTGCACCAAGGGCAGAGGAACTTGGGGCCTCTGTGTCCACAAAGGGCATCACATGACCCCTCCCTGGGGGATCTTCTCAGAATTCCCTGCTTCTCTCTCGGCTTTGGTCCCAAGTGCAGGACAAATCGGTACCAAGCTACCAACCTTATTGCCTGACCGGAGTTGGCGACCCAGCCCAGGGGACAGGCGACAAACACGAGCCCCATATTTAAGATGTAGCTCAACCTTTGACCACTAGAGGTCTCCTGGAAAGCAATGACCCGTATAACCCGGTTTATCTTCCTTCAAACCAATAGACTTGTTGCACTAAGACTTGGCGAGCCTGCTCTGCTGGAGGCCGCCTTATTAATAACGCCGCCCACCCCCACCGCCGACTACGGCGCCAGGCTTGGAAGGGGGAGGAGACTAGGCTGTGGCTGACCCTCAGATAGTGCTAGTTTTTCAGTCCATGAATCAGTCTGCGGACTCCGGGGCTACCCCCTCGAACCCCACTTCCTAACCAAGCAAGACCGGAGAGAGCCCCTAACTCGAGGTCCCCAGGTGGCAGCGCGGAGTCCCATGGACTTCCAATCAGCGATGGACTAGCCAGCGGACCAGTGTGCAGAAACACCTAAGCATCAGGTCCACCAACAGGCCAGGATCCACCCTCCCCTGGCTTCGCCCCACTCCTTCCTCCCCGCCCCCCTTCGTCTCCTCCCCTTGCCTCCCGATAGCCAAAGTGGCCCGAGTTTAGCCTGTGGAAGGAGATTAGGGAACCATTCACCGTCCCTGTTCTGATCCATGCGGTATTTTATGCAAAAATTAGCGGCTTCTAGCTGGAAGAGGAAAGAAAAAAAAGGGGGGGAGGGCAGGGGGAGCAAGAAAGGAAACAGCCAGGTTGAATTCCTAGTCTTTATCAAGCAATTCGCTCACCAATGAAAGCAAGCTGCAGTGGCAGATTCGAGCCACATGCGGTAGTGTGTAGCAATTAGTAGATAAAATGCTGACTAAAGTGCTAAAACATGAAGTATTATTGTAGCCAAGGTCAAAAATGCTTCAGTTGTCTTTTGCAATTTGGGGGAGGGGGAGGCCCAGAGGTGCGCAGAGAGGTTTGCATTTTCGAAATGGTTGCCTTCTTTCTTCAAACTACTTTTTTTTTTTATGATCCTGTTTATTATAGCCCAAGCTGCCTAATTATGTCACTGCTGGTTTTTGCAACTAACTTAATCCTCCTGATCCTTTATGAAACGATTCACAGACACTGAAAAAATGTGTCTACTGCTCCCCACCCCCCTTGAGGGGTGGGAATGATTTTTTAAAAATATTTTACCGTTTAAATAAACCAAATAAAACAGGGAGTTGGATTTTGGGCTAGCAAAGCAGCAGGAATATACATGTGTGTGTTAGGTTTCCTGTGTTTCAGTGTAAGAAAGAGCCCAGAAATAGTGGGTCATATAAACATATACTGCTTTCTTTCCCACTTCTCTTTTATACACAGTGAGTCCCAGCCACAAGCTTTTTATAGATAAATAAAGCAGTTGCTTTCATGATTATAACTGTCCTGAATGGATTGTCTTCTTACAACATTCAATCTGTTTATGAGTATTTACTTTACATTAGCCCAAGGACCCTGCACTGCAGGAGTTTGCCTCTATTCCCCTGGGTGTCGGTGTCTCAAGTCTTACATCTGCTCTGTGATTGATGGAGCCTTGAATCCACGTTATTACTCTCTCACAAGCAGAAATCAAACAGGCTATTAACTACATTACTTCAAAGAACTGTTTCAATACAATCTCCTTATCTTAATTGAAACTTTCTTTGTATGGATATTTGCTACACAGATAATTTACAGGTGCCTATCAGCATTGTATTAAAGAGGTAAAATAGAGGATGTTTTTTTGTTTTTTGTTTTTGTTTTGATTTTTTTTTGTAAACACACACCATTGTGATCTGCGATTTTAAAAGCCATTTATAGGATTGGACCAAGGGCTTGATTTATTAGAGTCTATTATTTTCATGGGGGTGGTAGTGGGTGGTGCTGTAAAAAGAGAGGGAAGATACCCCTGTGATTCCGTTTTGAAATTTAGCATTCATCTGATTACGAGACTGCAGATATTCAAAAATATTCAGACCTAGATCCCTGCAATTGTTAACATCTGAAAAACCTTATCGGGAGTTTACGAGAAGAGAGATTACGCGGCATGCAGCCTAGTTCAGCGTCTACCTTGAAGAGACAAGGAAACAGGGTTTCTAATTAGATGAAGTCCCTTACAGACACTTAAAGACTTACAGCACCAAAACCAGCAGAAGTTACTCAGATGCTCTAAAGAGCTGTGTATTTTTTAAGAGAGAGATTTAATATACAATCCAGGGATACCCTCAGGCATTCTGTTGAGGTTTCCTGCATAAATGCTGCTGCATTGGTCATACAGGAAACTGACTCAGAGTCGATCTCAAACATGATCTTGTCAAAATACTGCAACTCAAGTTTTTAAATATAGGGTGTCTTGAACTAGATGTATATATTTACGCTAACAGGACAGAGACTAACTGAAGCCTTAGGCATCTCTCCTGTATTTAAAAAAAATACGTAAAATGCCCTTCAGTCAAGTCCATTCATATGTAAAAAAATGAACAAAATGGGTTATTCTAATCAAACGTCTGCAGTATGCATCATAAAGTTAAAAAGAGAGAAAACGTGAGAGAGCTGTAATTTCTCTTTGTAACCCATGTTTATAAAATAGAAAGATCAGATGAAATTTCAAGGAAGATAATTAAAGAGTGATGTACAAGTCATAATTTGGCTAATGCAAAGATGGGAGGCTAAGAATTGTTACATTGTCCTCCTTCATGGTGCAGAGTTGTGATATTACTTTAAATTATTAAAATAGTTTTCATCTTTAAGGATACCGGCTCTCTGGCATGGGCTTTTATTACTTATTGTAATTGGAGGATCTGCCATTTTCTTTCGTTTATCTCTGTGTGTATAGAAACGAGATAGATCTTGCCTTTTATTACTTCCCCATGTTCTGAATCAAAAATGTGGTTTAGATAATGTTAAGTGCCCTAATTCTTACTGCAGAGGACGCAGACGTTATGAAAAGGCATAAAAATACACACAGAGGGTCTTTCCACCTCAAGTCACTGAATATGAGGCATTTGTGTTCTGCCGGGTGTATTAACTTCAGCCATGTGAATATAATTTTCATTAAAGTAATCCTGTTTCAACTAGATGCTGTGACTAGAGGTGAAACGTTGCGAAAGCGTTAAAAATAGCTTACTAGTAATTTCAACATCCTGTAATTTTATCACAGATCAAGTTTCAACTGTCATACTATACAGACCTTATTCCCCATATAGTACATGTTTACTTTTTTAGCTTGCCAGACCCACTTTAGAAAGATTGGTGCCAATATAATAAAATCGGGGGGGGGGGGCTGGAGGCGCTGGAAGGAGTGGGAGGAGAGCGGGGAAGGGGGTGGGGAGCATGGGGGAAGCGAGTACACCATTTTACATCAACACTGCGAAAATGCAATCTAGCCTGGCGGAGGACGGGCAGCTGGGTCGGAGCGAGCGAGGGCTTTGCAGTCTCTGCCTGTTCCTTGTTCTGTCGCTCTTAAGTTTCTCTGTGTTTGCATAATAGCCGTGCATGCAAACCTCGCAATGCTCCAGGGCTCCAGAACAATAAATATACACATTTAAAACCTTTATTGTCTTACGGTTCATGCCCCCGGTTTTCAACAGCTTAATTTCTGGTTGTATTTAACTAGTTTGCAAATGGATTTTTTCAGTTTCAAACTATTATTGAGGAAGCTCCCCTCCCTTTTTGGCGGGGGAGGGGATGGGGGTGGGGTAGGAGTCGGTATATTATTCCTGTAGCGCTGGGTTATATAAACACATTATCATTTGAGAGCGCCCTTGGCGTCCATCAGCATTGTAAACACGTACTAGTGTATATACTTCAAAATTAAAGAATGCACACGCAGAACCGGGAGCCTGAATTCATATTCCGAGCAGACTCGCTGCTCGCGTTTATTGATTTATCATGCATCGTTTATTGTTCCAGTCCCTAAATGCAGTCGCTGTCCGTTCAATATTGTTTGCAAAATCCTGAGATGTGTATGCATTGCTCACTTGTCTTTCTGGTTTTTTTTTTCGCTGAGTATTTTTTTGCGAAGCGAACAAATGCATTAATATTTATATGTTTATATAATCGATAACCCACTTTTCCCTTCCATGTAAATAGGCATCAAAAGATAATTTAACAGATTAGTTCTCGAAAACATGGCAGTGAGGAAGCGTAATTTAACTATCAAACAAATCTACATGTCTAATAACAGCAAATCTGCTAAGGAGCATTAGAAAGAGGAGCAGCGCCCCGGAATCTCTGCAGGAAATGTTCTTTATATTAGACATATACAAGCAGGTCCTGTCAGATGCAAAGCGGAGCTCGCTAGCTCTCGTCTTCTCCAAAAATCTCATTAGACGACACCTCTAGACAAGGGAGATTGGGAAGAGGTAGATCTCATCTTCACACAGTTTTAGGGTGGATTTTATTTTTACAAACCTTCCTATATGCTTTTTGCCTTGATCCATCCGCTTCCCGCCGAGATCGGACAGAACCTTTCTTCCGATTATGAATTTGATCATACCACATTTGGAAGGAAACCTACACAGTTTTGACAGGAGCTGAAAATTGAGTCGTCAGAGAAATATTAGGACATATTTTCAATCATTTTGGTGCCGAAGGGGAGGCAAGAGCTCAGTTTTATATTGAGACATTACGCCAGCTGAAGGCAGAGAATGTTTTTCCCTGCCAGGACCTGATGCAATCCATTCAAGCCAACAAGTTTGGAGAGAATGTTGAGTTCAATCAATTCAGAACGTCGAGATGGAGCCCAACTCACTCCAGGTATTTCGCTCTCCTCCGCTCCTCCGATCCCGGCACCCCCCGGCACCCCCCAGCCCCCCAACTCACCCACACCTCTGCACCCACCCACACCCCCCACAAACTTTTCACCAAACTTTTACCCTCTGCATCCCCCCAAATCATTTTTATTGTTTAAAAAAATCCCTGCACTGATCATACATACATAATGTAATTTTACCGCCTCAGATGGAGAAGTAGGGAGAGGTGGCGGTGGGGGTGCCCGGAGTTTTTCTTTTTTTTTTTTTTTTAAGGGAGGCAGAAAATTTGTGGGCTCTATTATTTTTCCACCCAGCTTTATATCTGTTGGCTCTTCTGTATTAAGAGTGTGGATGTCTGTGTGTAAATGTGTCTGGGAATAGATGTTTGTGCTCTGATGGCTACGTTATTTATTTGGTGCTTTTTTTCCCCTGCAGTGGGTCGGCTCACCGTGTGGCTTGCACGGACCTTACATTTTCTACAAGGCTTTTCAATTCCACCTTGAAGGCAAACCAAGAATTTTGTCCCTTGGCGACTTTTTCTTTGTAAGATGTACGCCAAAGGATCCGATTTGCATAGCGGAGCTCCAGCTGTTGTGGGAAGAGAGGACCAGCCGGCAACTTTTATCCAGCTCTAAACTTTATTTCCTCCCAGAAGACACTCCCCAGGGCAGAAATAGCGACCATGGCGAGGTGGTAAACTTATATCTCCCTCTCTTCTTTCTTTATTATCCGCCCCCCCCCTCCCCTAGTATTGCTTATTACAGGGTAAGCTTGAAAATACTGTATTCACTTCTGCAGGCGAGCAGGATCGACTCCTTTTTTAAAGGGGTAGCGCCACTAGCTGGGGCTCGAGTATTTTGCCATTGTCAGAGTTTGGCTGTCAGCTTTACAAAGAGGATCCAACTGCTGATTTTAGTCAAGATCAAATAACTTGTTCGAGAAGGGTTTTGTTCAAGGGTGTGTGTGTGTGTGTGTGTGTGTGTGTGTGTGTGTGTGTGATCGTTCTCTCTCTTGCTACTGCCTCTTGAACATCACATGCTTTTTTTTATATTTTTTGCCTTTTGAAAAATTTACCTTCGCGTCTGGCTCGGTCGGGGCTGGGTGGATTTCTTTCGGTGGGTTTCGATATTGTTCACTTTTTTTTTTAAGTAAGTATTTGATATGTTTAAGAGGGCGGAAATTACGAAATGGAGGCAGAGTGAGATCAAAAGCTATTGAGTTGGCAAAGACGTGTTGAATAAAGTGATAAATGACAGGTACTGGAATAATACATTCAAATAACTTGCAGATCTGCCCGGGCGGATTTCAAAGCGGTCGTGTAACCGGCACAAACACGTTAAGCATTAACAACTATCTCTCGCCCCCACCCCCTCCCCCTCGGACAAGCCATTAGATGTTCTAGTTTTCAATTACTCCACGCAAAGGGGAGGTCGTTCAGCGCGATCTTTGGGGACGTGTGGGACCAGGACGGGGCAGGGAAGGGCCGAGGGGTGTGTGCTCGCCCCCCGGCCCCGCGAGTCCCGCGGCCTCCGTGCCCAGACGGCGCTCCCGGGAAGGGTGGGGAGGGACTGGGCTTCGCCGGCACGTTTCGGGGCGGCCGCGGGGGCGCTAGCCGCGCTCCCAGGAGGACGCCCGAGGTGAGCCGCTGTCACCGGGCGCCGGGGCGGCCGCCTCCCCTCGGCTCTGTCATCTCGTGTGTGACCGCAGTTCTGCGGGCTCCCCTCGTCAGCTGACCGACCTCAGCGCCGCGATACCCACCGGGGGAACTATTTTGGGGAGGCAGTGCCCTCGGTGCGGTGGGGAGGGAGGGTGAGCGGCCGCCTGGCAAGGCTTTTGTTCCCCAAGCGAGAGCAGGGTGATCAGACTGAGACTTTTGAGGGCAGCTAGCTCTGTGCCAGGCCCTCGAGCTTTCGAGGTAGGTGTAGGATCTTTTTGTTAAATGAATGGTTCCGCGCTTAACTCATCCCGGAGTGTGGAGCTGCCTGCCAGTCCTTCCAGAATCCCTTGGTCTGATGGAGTTGATTGTACTTTTGGCATCCCCAGTTCACTCCCTCTCCCAGGATCGAATTACCCATCAGTGGTCTATGCCGGTTAATTACTGGAGTTCGTCAAAACCTTCGCCCTCGGATCTGCCTCTTCGGAAATAAGCCCCGCCCTCCTCTCCGAATTGCACCCCACCCCCTCCACCGCCAGCTTTGGGTTTTAAATGTTCATACTTCCCGACGTCTGCCTGCAATTTTACAAAGCTGTTGTTTGGAAATACTGTGAAAAATCCTGCAGCCTACCAACAGGTTGAGCTCTTTCCCCCTCCCAAGGTCTAGCTCAGCCCCCTCCCCCGACCCAACTTTCCTGCGCAGCTGTCTTCCTCCCCTCCCCCTCCTGATTTCTTATTATTTGCTTTTCAAATTTATTACTTCAACATGGCCTGTGATCTGGAAAAGGGAAGGATTAAATATCCAGAAAAGAGCTGGTGCCTAATAGACTTCTGACTAAACCCAGAAGGAAATTATTCTGTGTTTTATGAGATATTTTGCGGTCACACACACTCTCTCTCTTTTTTTAATTGAAATTGAAATACTTTTAAAGACCCCAAGTTGACCCCTCTTGGTCCAGTTTTAATTTCTGTTGGTGTAATTAAATGGTGAATTCTGATTTAAGAATAAAAACAATAATAGCCCAAGGTTGCGTCTGTTAGAACTGCTGGTAATGAATAGATATACAGTGCTTTTAAATACACAATTTTTTAAAAATTGCTCATTGAAGGGAAATGAAAGCAAACTGTTGTAATGATCTGTACATTTCGTCACTGCTATATGAGCCATACCTAAGAAAATTAATCTTGCCATTTAAAAGTAAACTCTAGGGGGTTTGGGGGAGGGAGATGGCTCTATTTATAATCCTCAGCTGCTTATACATCGTCTAATATTATGCATGATTTGTTTTTTAATGCTAATACGGCTGGTAATTAGCTGTATGATTATACTTGTATATTTCATTAGGACTTTGGCTGATGTCATTGTGAATTATTCAGCCATATTAAAACAATTTTCAATTGAGATAATGACACGCCTCAAAATTATGCAAATGCAGGCTGCATTGTGCAAAATAATTATGACAAATGTAAAGCAGGTAGAAAGTTTCCCAATGCAGATCGGTTTTCCACCCTGGTGATGTCATTTCCCCCCTGGCCTAAGTTAGTCATTCATTAGCTGAATAGCAGCAGCCGGCTCCTCTGGAGGAGAGCCTACAGAAACCAGCATTTACTGCAGGCACCTAGAGGGGGCAACAGGGTCCTCTCATTAAGAAATTTGCTTTGTTTTCACTTACTCCATTAACTTGTTTATATACAGTGAAATGATTTTTGTTATTGATTTTAAATAGTTTTGAATGATGCATTTGCCATTTGCAAAGTGTAACTGAAAGAAAAAGGTTTCTTGGTGATGTGCACGGTTACTTGGAGAAAATGTTCAGCACATTTAATCAGCCAGTACAGTTTATTTTAAGTAACCAAATGGAGGTTAATAATTTCTTGATTGCGCTGACATCAGCATCCATTTCAAAAGGACAGCCAGGACTCAGTATGCTTTTTTGGTTTAAGAGAACCAGTCTGTCTATTTATGATTTCTTGAAATGTAAAGACGTCAGTTCTAAAAGCAGGAAAATTATCATTGTGCGAGATTAGAAATAGCGTCCCTGTGTGGTTTGCTGTGATCTGCAGAGGGCCTTTTTGGGGAATATTTTATTGATCCTTGCAATAATTGGAAGAGGCAGGACTTTGTATGCCATTTTACAGTTGGAGACAGAGGCTTAGAGAAATTACATGGTTTGTCAAAGGTCACCAGACTGGGACCTAGGCCTTCTTAAGTTTTAGGATTGGTTTATTTTCCCACTGAACCTCACCCCGGACACCAGAGTTTTAACGCATCATATTATATTCTAGAAGTATGCACTAGCGTGGGCAGGTGCTTGTTCATTTTAGAATCATGACTAGTCAATCAGTTTTGCCAAAGGTCAGTAGATTTTAGGTAGAAGAACCATTCTTATTTTATAAAGTTCAGCTAATTCTAGCTAGTGGTATCTAACAAGGACAGTTGCGTTTCAGTACCATTATTCATAACCATTGACAATTTATTGCTAGTTGTACTGATTATGATAATGACTTGCAAACTTATATGCACTGCTGCCTTCATTCACATACTTCCAGCGCTGGCCACTGGTGTTGAGGAAGGGCAGTCCGGAGTCACGTCTTGATTCTGCAGCTTATTATTTGTTTGACCTTGAGCCATCATAAACACTCTGAGCCTTAGTTTCTTCAGCAGTGAAATGGGAACAATAATAAGGCTCACTGTCTATGGATTGTTGTGAATATGTATGAGCAAAAGTACTTCATAACTGTATAGTCCTTATATAAATAGAAAAGAGTAATCATTGTGGTGGCCTTTATGCTAGATATTCATAATTTATAAACAATAAGCAGAATAACGTTTATGTCTGTGTGGAGGTTCCCAGGCCTAATCATGATACTGTCTTAAATTACCATGAAAGTGAATAGCAGGGCCATATACAAGGAGTTAAATGTCTTCAGTAATTATCCACAATTGCCACATTCAGCCAGTATCTCTTCAGAGGAGGAAAATGGCAAAGTAGGTGGGTAATTGGTTCTGTTACTGGGTAACTTCTGATTACATTCATTTTCAAAGTGCCAAGTGCTTAATCTATTGGCAATATACCCTCTTAAAATAGGTGGATGTGCAAGCATGGATTCCAGCCTGACCATGGGCTAGATTCTACAAGAAGCTTTACTGGTCACCTGCAACTGTGAGTGTGCATGAGTAAGCCAATTCTGTCAGGAAGTCAGGATCCAGCACATCTGGGCGTTACAGAGGCTAGCATGTAGGCAGGATTTCTAAAAGTGCTTATGTTGTTAAAAATTGTCAATATTTTATATTCTAAAACCCCTGTTGAAATTAATGCAGTTAGAATCTCTGGAATGGGGGTCCAGGATCCTGCATTTTAAACAGTCTTGCTTTAACTGTGGGATCTTGGGCAAGTTTTAAACTCTCTGTGCCTCAGTTTTCTCATCTATAAAATGGAAACATAGTGCCTACTTCTGAGGATTATTTTAGGGATTAAGCGAGTTATTACATGCAAAGTGCTTACAGTTGGCACTGAAGATTCTTCAATAATGGGTGACTCATTATTATTATCATTAATATTCATATTACTGTTCTCTTTGAAGTTTGAGATAACTACACTGGACCTTCCTAAAGAAAGGTTTTCTCTATGAGAAGACAGCTTGTAGGTTAGTTTACTAGGACAAAGAGCCAGCACAGGTCTCCTCACATCAGGTTGGCTTTCATCCATGTGATGGGTTTACCTGTGTCACCAAGATAAAAACCTCCTTGAAGATTTACATTTTAGTATTGAAGTATGCTGTCTGTCATCTGGATCAGCAGGATTTGTTTCGAAGATTGCCTGATTGTAGCATATCTCAGCTTGGTCAGACACATTCTGAAATCTCAGTCTCTGGTGTATATTCATGAGCTGGTTTTTAAAAATTTCTGACATCTCTTCAGTGACCTCACTGGCCTTGGACAATTTCTTTAACTTTTCTGAGCCTTAGTTTCTCCATCTGTAAAATGGACTTCATGATCTCTACTTTGCCAAGAGAATTAGAAATAATAATGAGA